CTTCCCAACCTACCCTGCCTCCCATGCTCCTACCCTCTCTCCTCCTTCCTTTCTTATTCTCTTAATTTTTACAATAGCAACTACTAAAACTCAGTTGATACCTTTTGCTAGCACCAATTGTCCCAAAAGCAGGACCACCAAAAAATATAATTCCACAATGACAGGACTTGGATCAAATGGCATGAGATAGCAGACATGTTCTGGCAGCACTCCGTGCCAATGTCCACATCTATTAAGTTTGTTTACTAACTAGTCATATTATCTATTTCATGTTGGGATTTCTTTGGGGTGTGGTGAAATTGGACAGATGGGTTGAAAGTCTTCCTTCAGGCATTATACACATAGGATTTGGCAGATGGGTTTCAATAAGCAACCTTTAGGCTTGGAACACATGGATGAAGCAGGGAAAAAAGAATACATCATTATCCAGTGATGAGTAAAAATACAGCTGGGAGTGGTGAAACTTAACAATAAGATCTGAAATATATAAAATAAAACTGGAAAGTGGCACACTATTACTTCTCAGTGAAGATACAGACTTTTAGGCCACAGGTTAAATATTATAGTAATAAGTGACCTCAGAAGCCTAAAAACAACACAAAAGAAAACTTTAGTAATAGTCGATGCCAACCTGAAATAAATTTTCTGTAACAAGAACAGAACTAAATTTTATTTAATATTTCTATCAATTAATTAGATAAGGATTTTATAGAATATTTTTCTTTTAATTTCATTTTTAAATTTTAATTAATTTTTAACAGATGCCATATGATTTGTAGATACTAGTTTAAGAACATAATGATATTCCCTTCCTCCCACCCTCCTTCTTTCTACCTCTTTTTTTGTTTTTGAGATAACATATTTTAAATTTGCAATACTGCAAAAGCGCTTAAGCCTTCACCAAATAAGAACTTTAAATAAAAACCAAAAAGACCCTAATTTAATGAGAATATAGACAATGGCTATAAACAATAATTGAATGGGAAAATGACCATTTCACACATAAACAGTTTTTTTCTTCATTCATTCATAATTTCTTTCACTAAAACAGAACCAATGACAATGTAACATCTAAATATTTCCTGTGTGATTACAAAATAGCAATTAAGTTCATTTAGACTGTAAGCCATTTCCTCTCAACAGTTTATGCAGAAGAATAATTTTATGCAGATTGCCACACATTTTTTACTTCCATGTTTATTCCAGCTCAAACCACAATAGTTAAGATTTGGAATCAATGCAAATGCCCATCAACTGATGGCTGGATAAGGAAAATGTGGTATATATACACCATATAATATTGCTTAACCATAAAAAATAATGAAATCCTGTCATTTGCAACAAAACGGATGCAACTGGCAATCATTATACTTAATAAGCAGGATCCAAAAAGACAAATACCATATGAAGATTTTATAGAATATTAAGCAAATCAGCAAATAGTATAAATCTGGTAGGAAAAGATCAGAATCCAAAGGTGTGTCCCCAGAATGGAAAGATGGACTGAAGAAATCAAATGGAGAGGTAAATAAAAACTTTTCTAAAACTCGAGAGAAATCAAAATAAGCTTCACACAAGTATACAAGGTAGAAATATGTATTTGAGCTAAGAAATGGAAAAAAAGTAGGAATTAGAGTTGACAATATAGTTGATAGGACAAACAGTATGACATGACAGGCTAAAGAAGTGAGTTTAATCTTTGTATTAATTGAAGAATCACACAGCAGTCATGGGAAGTGGAAGCTGAGTTATTGGACTTTTTCTGTTAACATCTCCATTTCCAAACCCTTCCCTTCTTTACTCTGATCAGTGCTCCCATAGTACTAATGACTTACATGTACTGCACCAATGGATTCTCTTTTATGATGACTTCTGATCGGATGCAGGCAGATGGCAGTATGAACAAGAAACAGGAGGGAAGCAATAAAGTAAGGTCACAGAATTTATTCTTATAGGTCTCTCTCTGTGCCAAGTCCCATTCATAGAAACGGCCATGCCTTTGGTCAGCACATCCCCTTCTACCTCTACATTCCAATGATGCTTTCCTTTCTTCTTTCATGTTAAGTGGTAGTAGGGATATACTACTTTTCTGGTCCCGAGATGTGCCCCATCCCACTTGGAATTTGATAAATAAATCTTTTACTTGAATCTCCTCGATTTACCCAATTTGTATTACATGACTTTGTGTTGGCACCCTGGCCAATAAACTAACATTTCTTGAACAATGACTGGCAAAAAATGCAGTATGTGCTGTTGTGTTTAATGATTTCAACATCCCTGTAAGGTAGTTTCTGTTTGTATCTTACGTATGTTGCAGATGAAGAAACCGAGATGTCCACAGGTTGATTCACTTAATGGCAAACAGCAAATAGGAGGCCAGCTTGGATTTGATCCCAAACTATCTGACTTAGAGGCCATGCTGTTAACTGCCACACTCAGGTCATTCTGTTCAGAATAGGTCAGGTCCCGCCAGGGAATAGTTCTATTACTCTGGCTTCACGCATTCAGAGGAATGAACAAAACATAGCGACCTTAGAGGCAATACCAGGACAAGTGTAGGGATCTCACAACCCTGAGAAATGTGGAAGGTGTGCAAATTTATATGTTCTTTCTGAAATGAAATTTTCAAGATCTATCAAGTACCTTAAAAAATGCTCTTACCCTTAGGCCTATTCATTCCACTTACAGAAGTCTATCTTTAGGAACTGGAAATATTAACAATGATTAAACTGCTAGAATGTTCATTGCAGAATGACTTACAAGGGCAAAATCTAAAATAACTCAGATTTTTAACAACAGAAAATTATTAAGTATTATATACATATTTAAATGCATGTATTCACATGTAAGTATATACTATATAATATTGAAAGTATTAAAATTTTTCCTTTGAGCAATGAACTGTGGAAAATCTCACAATGTTAATTTATAATTGAAAAGATGATCAAACTGTATATCCTGTGCTTGAAAGTGTGTGTGTACTTGTATGTGTAGGAAATAAATGATTTTGAGAAAAAAATCAAAATATTATATTTACACTTGGAAATATGTGTAACCATTTCATTTCTTCTGTGTAACTTTATACTTGCTTTTCTGAATTTCCTATTTTGTACAATCCACTGAAAAATAATTTTTTTTTTTTGGACAGGCAGAATTAGACAGTGAGAGAGAGACATAGAGAAAGGTCTTCCTTTTTTCATTGGCTCACCCCCCAAAATGGCCACCATGGCTGGCGCGCTGTGCCAATCTGAAGCCAGGAGCCAGGTGCTTCCTCCTCGTCTCCCATGCAGGTGCAGGGCCCAAGCACTTGGGCTATCCTCCACTGCCTTCCTGGGCCACAGCAGAGAGTTGGACTGAAAGAGGAGCAACCGGGACAGAACTGGCGCACTTACCGGGACTAGAACCCGGGGTGCCAGCGCTGCAGGCAGAGGATTAGCCAAGTGAGCTGCAGAGCTGGCCTGAACAATAAAATTTAAAAACAGCAATAATTATGAACCATGTCTAAAGTAATAGGACTTACATAACCTAAGACAGAAGATTGAAACAAATGTGAATGAAAGGCCCTAGAAGGAAAGAAGATTTGATGCTTGGGAAAATGCAATGACTAGAATGGAAGAACCTGTACCCACAAAAACTCTAGGAAGATAGACTTTGATGTAATAAAAAGAAAAAAAAACTTAATAGAATTTCAAACAATGGGGAAATTTTTGAATTTTTTGTCACTGGAAGTAGTTAAGAAGAGACTTGGAAATCATTCTTCCAAGTAGTTTAAGAATCATACAGAAAATTAGGCCAAGAAATCTCTCCCATGAGATTTTAAAATTTAGATGATATCGAACAATGATATTTAAAGATTACTGTATCAATCAGAAATTTATTTCTTTGGGATAAGGTATTATTATATCTAGACATCTATTTTTGAAATCATCTTTTAGAGGGGAAAGTAGATGATTTCTTAAATTCAAAAGTAGTTCCTTAGGGGTTAGGGTACATGTCATTTGAGCTTTTACACTTACTGCCTACAACCCTTTCAAGTAGATAGTCTGCCTAAAACAGCTCATGTGTTTGTTTGTTTCTGATTTAGGCAAGTTATCATACTAGATATTGCTAACGCACTACACTGGATCTACTCCGTTCTGCCTGTCCTGTGACTTCAGCTGCATACCTCACTTCCCAGCAGTAGGGGTCTCTTCTAGAACTTACTGAATCTCTGGCCCTTCCATTAACAGCCCAAGGAGCCACAAGAATTGAGAGAGAGAGAGAGAGAGAGAGAGAGAGAGAGAGAGAGAGAGAAAATAAGTTCACAGCTTCAGCATGGACCCAGTGAATTTCTTGCCTCTCTGCACCATCTGCCTCATATTGTCCCAACATGTTGTGATTCGATAAGGCTTCTCTCAAAGCATTCCATGTAACCAAGCAAACTAAGCATGTTTTCCTTGACTGTACTATGTTTTCTTTCGCTCCTTTTATCCTTCCATTCTCTTTTCCCTTCACTGTTATGTCACTGGGATCATTTGTCCCAATAAAGTGTTAGCACATCAGGCTTGCTTTCAGGTCTGTTTGGAAGGCACCTTATTAAGACAGCAACTGAAATTTTTCTAGTGAGTCAATTGATCAAAGGATATCAAACCTATCCTCTGATATCTTGGAAAGAATGGGTCATGAGTAAATTCTGATGCAAATAACAAAAGGGAGAACTGGTGTATAATCTGGCAAAGCAAAAGGAACTCTGAAATGAGCAGCATTTGTACCACAAAGATCCTGGGACTAGAAACAGGGTCTGATGATGGTGGGCATGTGAGAAGGACCAATAGAAATCACCTTTATCCACATCCAGAGCTCTCCAAGGAAAAGCTTCACTGGTAAACTCTCTCACTCCTAGCCTTAGCCCTTCCCGAATTGCATTAAGCAATCCACTTGGTGGTACCATGAACTTGGTAGAGTCATTTCTCCCAGAACTTCATTCCCATTGTGTTCCCAACCCTTGTGCTTTTACTCACCAACTTTCAGCTCCCCGCCTGCAATGACCATGCATGCCACACTCAGAACATTGCTTCGGTCCACAGGGAATTCTAAAGTGCCCAGCACGTAAAGTCCTTTTAGCGCTGGAAGATCTGTATCCACCAGGACAGTTCTGTCTACAGAAGAAAAAGTGCTCAGGAGTGTAACCAAAATACAAATCCCCACCCCCTTCTCTCTCCCAGTGATTTACTCTGGTTCACCTAGCAATTCAGGAACTGCTTATAGTATTATCTAAGACAGACAGGTACAGTGACTAAAATTACAGATAACCTGCTAAAGGTTAGGTTCTAATAAAAAGATGGGGTGGGGAGATCAGAAGCTATTATCAATAAGTGTTTCTACTGCTTAACAAATAAAGCGTTATGGCCAAAAGTCATTGTTATTCACCCAACTGGTTGCTTTAAACAGGCTTTGCCTAACACACACAAATCAAATGAGTTGCCTACCTCTGTATCTGTCCATTCGATTTGGATTGAAATTTCAGGGAGGTGCAGAAAAGTAGATATGACCTTGCTTCTGTAAGTAGATTATTTGGTTGAGTCCCCTAGCTCTACCAGTTATAGCTGCATCTGTCAGCAACCTTATCTTTCTATGCCTCATTATCTAATAGTGAAAGAGGGATAATAATAAAAATATCTGCTTTATTTATAGATTTCTTGTAAGGGTTAAATGATTTAATAGATCCAAAGTGCCTACACAATACCAGGATACCATCTGGAATACCCATTTCCAACAGTGCAAGGCAAAACATGTGGGGCCTCTAAAGAAATGCAGGACATTAACATTATCTGCACTGTTGTCCATTAGTATGACATGCTTATAGAGCTCAAAGGACAACTTAAAGCCATTATTCCTCATTCACCCTTTCATTAGAGCAGTTTCCATACAAGTTCAAAAATAATCATAGATTTTATCTGAAATTAAAACAGAATAAAATAGGAGTAAAATTTTTCTCATTTAAAATAGTAAATATTTCATGTGTGCCAAAGTATTAAGTGTAACTTTCTGAAGCTTAGTAGTAATTCTAACAAATTAAAGATATCAAATTAAAATTTTGGCTTAAATTTCAAATACATAATCACTGACATGTAAAAAAAATTGTAAAGAATTATTTTCTTAAAATAATATCATTTCTCATTCAAGGAAAAATGCACCCTTGCTGTTCTTCTTTTTAAAGATTCTTTTATTTTAAAAGATTTATTTATTTACTTTAGAGGCAGAATTACAGAGAGAGGGAGAGACAGAGTGAAAGTTTTTCCATCTGCTGGTTCACTCCCCAAATGGCCACAATGGCCAGAGCTGGGTCAATTTGGAGCCAAGAGCTTCTTTCAGATCTCCTATGTAAGTGCAGGGACTCAGGCACTTGGGCCATCTTCTACTGCTTTCCCAAGCCATCAGCAGGGAGCTGGATAGGAGCAGCTAGGACTAGAATCAGCGCCCATATGGGATGCTGGCACCACAGGCATATGTTTAACCTACCATGCCACAGTGCCAGCCCACCCTGCTGTTCTTAAAGGCCTGACTACCCAAGAAAATTAACTCTCATGAATTGTCTTTCCTGGCCTATGCCTGCTTCCTCAGTTATAAGAACAACCATGCCGTTCAATGGTAGAGACTACAAACTTGTAAACCAACACTTCCTTTTTCCTCTTGTGTTCACAGTTAGACTATCATTTCTAGCCTGCTTTGTAGTTAGATGAAGCAATGTGACTGAGTTGTGGCTAGTAGAATGTAAGCAGAACTGAGGTATGACACTTCCAGGCAAGCAATATTCATAAATACTGCATGCTCTCTCCCTATCTACTTCTCTCTGAGTTGGATGTAGAGTTGATTCTCAAAGTATGCTCATGGTCCGGCCTCTTCAGCAACACCCACTCATCCATCAGCATGCAATGCAAGTGTGAGTTCTGCTAGAGTTCCCAATCCATATGTTGGCTCCACCACTCTCCCTGAGAAGCTACCTCTCTCTTTCACACTCCAAAGACACCCTGTACATTCTTGCATCAGAAAACTCAAACATATTATTCAAATGACACATATATTTTATTATAGGTAGGGAGGCAACTGTCTCTGACCTGGCCCTTTGTATAATTACCTCTTCCTGTCCCACCATTACTTCCTTAAAGAAAGAGAACACTCACTTTAAAAAAAAAAAATCCTTACTCATTATCGTGATGTCAAAAATGAACAACATAAATGTTGCCAAGATTATTGAATTAAAACTCCTAGGCACTTTAAATTTAAGAATTCATTAGTAATTGGTACAAAAATGAATGCTTGAGGAAAACAGATAAAATAAATAATATATCTCAATCTCATCTCTGATCTCAAACATTCAGACAAAAGAGAAATATCTGGAGAATGCTGTAAGGTTAGCACACATTTTATGGCTTTATAACTTTAAGAAAAATGACTTAAAGAAAACACTTAAAAAAAAAAAAAAACAAGAGTGTTATCAGAGTTCATGGAATTGAGTTCCATCCCCACTAATGATCAAGTTTCAGACTGATGCACACCCTGGGAGGCAGCAGGTGATGGTTCAAATACATGGGTCCTTGCAACCCACCTGGGGGATGTGGATGGAGTTCAGGGCTCCAGGCTTTGCCTGATCAAGCACTGGCTCTTGTGGGCACTTGGGTAGTGAAACAACAGAAGAAAGATCTCCCTCCCTCCTTCTCTCTCTCTCCCTCTGTGTGTGGGTGTGGGTGTGGTGTGTGAGAGAGAATCTCTCTCTCATTCACTCTGATCCTCTGCCTTTCAAATAAATAAACTTAAAAAAAAGAGTGCTATACAAATGTTATTCATCTATTCCAAACACTAGTTCAGTCTATCAATTCTGGTTATCAAAACTGATTATAAAAACAAATAAAATCAGTTAAACAAATTCATTTCCACAAGGTTTCCTCTCCCCCATCCCCCACACCCCACACATATGCAGACACACACAGTGATATAGATACTTTAAGTATATTTTTTGGTTAAAATACAAGTACATAGAAAATATTATTCCTCCCTTCAGTCATCGTGACATACCCTCTTAGAAGAAAATTTTCCATTTAATTAGTCTGCCCACTCCAAATGTACAAACAAATTTCCCAAGAGCCACAGATTTATATTAACCCCATGATAAAACAGCTGCCATCCTTACTTTCACATTCTCAAGACTTAACAACAGTAAACAGCACATAAGAACTACCCAAAAATAACACCAAAACTATCAGAGGAAAGTTATTGGATGAAGACAAGAGTAGAAATACTGTCCTAATATCTTTTCATGCCACACTTTTGACTTTTAAATTTCCTCCATCTATCTACCCACATTTCCTTTGTTCTTCTATCGCTTCCCCAAGATGTATCATATATAGGTATGTGATGTGTATTCACAATATGTGAGATGTATTGGTGGCCAGGGCTGTGGCATAACAGGTAAAGCTGCTGCCTGCAGTGCCAAAATCCTGTATGGGCGCCAGTTCAAGTCCTGGCTGCTCCACTTCCTATCCAGCTCTCTGCTATGGCCTGGGAGAGCAATAGAAGATGGCCCGAGTCCCTGGGCCCCTGCACCTGCGTGGGAGACCCAGAAGAAGCTCCAGGCTCCTGGCTTCAGATGGCACAGCTCTGACCGTTGCGGCCAATTGGGGAGTGAACCAGTAGATGGAAGATTCTCTCGATTCTCTCTCTCTCTCACTCTCTCTTTCTGCCTCTTCTTCTCTCTCCATGTAACTCTTTCAAATAAAATAAATAAATCTTTAAAAAAAGAGAGAGATGGTTTCCCAGTAGATGAAAATATATATATAAACATAATACAATATAGTTGAAATGATCATGTACTTTTAAATTATATGTAGATTAACTATCAATGTGCGTATTAAAACAAAACTCTGCTAAAATTAAATAAATACATGCTCTGAAAGGAATTTTTAATAAAGTGGTTCTTGTATCACAATAATAGAGATTACAGATTGTAGTTGCAAGTGACATAAGCAAAAATATTTACTTTTCTGGAATTTCAAGAAAACAACAGCTGGAAGCCCAAACTGACCAGTCCTTAGCCATAATAACTACTTACAGAGACTTTCATTTTGTTTCTAGGTGTGAACACTCTAAACCTAGTATCATTTCCATAAAATTACTCAAGACATTTCAGATTAATCACACAAAAACAGTTATTTTTCCAACCTACTTAACAAATGTCAATGATGGACCACTTTTAATTGAACTGTGATCAAGGCTTTGCACTTGTCCTGTTGCGGCCATGGCTATTCTATCCTACTCTGTCAGTGACCGATCTATCCTACTTGAGGGAATGAGCACTGGCATATGGAGGGAACCATCTGGAATTTCTGTTGCTCACTGGGAGGCTGATGGGGGAGCTGATCTGGAAAGAAGCTCCAAAAAGAAATAATGAGTTCCAGATGTAATTAAAGACTGTCCCCCGCCCCCAAAGGGGCTTAGGATGAGCCATGGGGCAGTGCCCCTTAGTTCCGAATCACACCCTCTTACCACTTGTTCATCCATCAAGCACTAAACACTCACCACTCTAATCCTAGTATCTTTTACCAAGTGATGTTTCAGACATGAAAAATGAATGATTTTACAATTAGCAGGATAAAGTTTTAAGAATAATATCTGCAGAGTCAACACCAGGAAGAATCTCCTGCATTTTGCTATCACCAAATGCAACAACAAAACACCAACAAAGAAGATTCAGTCTTTTATAAACGCATTTGCTAAGCTTAAATAACATTTAAAAAATGAGCCAAATCAAGACAGATATCTCTAACAAAATTCTAGGGCTTCTTTTGTGTCAGGAATAAATTGACTACTATATTACAATATTATAACATTATAATAGATAGTATTATATAATTTCCTTTTTTTAAATAGATATTATATAATTTCAACACTAGATTTAAACTCAATTTTCTCCAGCAAAGTTAGGGAATCAAGGACACTATTATGTAGCATTCCAAAGGGCTGACACTTGTCTAAATCCTGTAGAAATGGGATCAAGGGCAAAGGGCACTGAACCTGGGAATAATGATGGGGTCATATGAACAGACATGATTCAGGGCAGGATGGCCCCCTGTTTGTATGGTATTCACTATAGCAGGCTCCA